ACAGAAATAGGGAAACTGCTGCTAATTTAAAAAGACTGTTGTCGCTTCACTTCATTGGGCCCTTCAGCATCTACTACCTGCTTTCACTTGTGTCAAGTGCAAACACATCCTACAGGTAGACCAACAAGCTCAAGTTGAAAAATAAAATGAAGTAGAAAAGAGGTCAATTATGATCAAAACATGTAAATCCCATTTACATTCTAATACTTGGATTCAACCACATTGTCCTGACTTTCTAAATCATTTTAATGCAGCCTCATCTCCCCTCCCTCTGCTAGACTCATCTAAGGATGCTCTGCAATTTTTAGATTCNAGGAAGATCAGAGTGAAAAGAGGTGAACCAGGGGACAGAAAAACAATAAAGAAAAGTCAACAAACCTAAAGATTTTTTTTTAAAGATCAACAAAACTGACAAACTTGACTAGACTAAGAAAAAAAGATAAGATTTGAATTGCCATAATCAGAAATGAAAGGACATAACCACTGACCTTACAGAAATAAAGGATTATAAGGTAATGTTATGAAGAACTGCATACCAAATTAGTAGGCATACCATTAATTCATATGAAATGAATTAATTCCTAGAAAGACAAACTACTCACAGTGAATCAATAAGAAACAGGAAATTCTGAATAGACCTATCACAAGTAAAGAGAATGAATAATTAAAAAATATCCACAAAGAAAAGCCCAGGCTTTTACTGGTGAATTCTAACAAATGCTTAAAGAATATTAGAACAATCCTTCAGAAATTCTTCCGAGAAAACAGAAGAGGAGGAAACACTTCTCAACTCATCCTAAGAGGCCAGGATTACCAATACCAAAACCAAATACAAGAAGAGAAAACAGAAGATCAATTTCCCTTATGAATATGAACCCAAAATCTTTAATGAAATAATAGCAAACCAATCCAGCATAGATAAAGGATTATATATCATGGCCAAGCAGAACTTAAAAAGGAAAGGCAGTTCAAAATACAAAAGTTAATCAATATAATACATCATATTTAAAAGGGAAAACCCACATGACTATCTCAAAAGATGTAGGAAAAGATGTAGATGTTGACAAAATCCAATATTGCTTCATGACAAAAACATTAAGCAAACTAGGAATAGAAGAGAACTTTCTCAATCTGAAAAGGACATCTAGAAAAAACACAAAGACAATTTAATGGTGAGAGACTAGATGCTTTCCCTCTAAGATCAGGAACAAGACAAGGATGTCCCACCACTTCTATTCAACAATGTATAGGGGATTCTGGTCAAGGCAATAGAGCCAGAAAAAAGAAATAAAAGACATTCCACATAGGAAAGGAAGAAATAAAATTATCTCTGTAGATTCCAGGATCTTGTAAAAAGGAAATCCTAAGGAATCTACAAAAAAGTTATTAGAACTAATAAACAAGTTTAGTAAGGTTTCCAGATACAAGCTCAAAACACAAAAACCTATACCAGCAGTCAGCATGGAGAATACAGCCAATGATTCTGAAACATCTTTCTATCTTGACAGATAGTAACTGCACTAATTGGAGTGAGGATTTAATAATGGGGGTAACTGTTGAACCACTATGTTGTATACTTGAAATCAACGTAAGAATGTCTATCAACTATAATTCAATTAAAAATTTTAAAAAACACATTGAAGGAAAAAAACCCTCCCTCACCATTCCATCCCTGACAGGTATCCTGGTCCTGAGTAACCCTCCACAAAGAAGGCCAGATGAGCTGATGAGGCCTTTCTCCAAATTAATGGTGGATTTTCTGGGCTTTGCCTACCTGATAAGAGAGGTTGAAGCCCCACCACACCGAAAAACAAAACAAAACAAAACCCAAACCTCTACTAGCAATGAATAATCTGAAAACACAACTAGGAAAACATTCATTTATAACAGCATCATAAAGCATCAAATGATTTAGGAATAAATTTAACAAAATAAGCAAAAAAACATATACTCTGAAAACCATGAAAAAGTATTGAAAGAAATTAAAGAAGACCTACATAAATGGAAAGACATCCCATGTTCATGGATTGGAAGACAATACTGTTAAGGTGCCAGTACTTCCCCAACTGATCTATAGATTCAACACAATTGCCATCAAAATCGCAGTTGTTTTTTTGCAGAGATTGATAAACTTACCCTAAAATTCATATATGTAAAGGACCCAGAGTAGCCAAAACGATCTTGAAAAATAAAATCACTGCCTGATTTCAAAATATACAACAAAGTTAACTAATCAGGACAGTATGCTATTGGCATAACGACAGACATATACATCACTGGAATAGATTTAAGAGTCCAGTAATAAATCTTCACATTTATGCTAACTTGATTCTGACAAAGCTGTCAAGACATTTCAATGGGGGAAGAATAGTCTTTTCGAAAAATAGTGCTCCTATAATTGGATACCCATGTGTAAAAGAATGAATTTGGCTACTTACCTCATACCACATATAAAAATTAACTGAAAATAAATCAAACACCTAAATGTATGGTTAGACTTCTAGAAGAGAACACAAATGTAAATCTTTGTGATCTCGGATTATGCAACAGTTCTTAGATATGACACCAAAAGCATGAGAAACAAAAGAAAAAATACATAGGTTGGACTTCATCAAAATATAAAACTTACATGCATCAAAGGATACCACAATGGAAGTGAAAAGATAATCTACAGAATGGAAGAAAGTGTAAATCATGTAACTGGTAAGGATCTAGTATCCAGAATACATAAAGAACTCCTATAACTCAACAATAAAAAGACATATAACCCAATTAAAAAATGAGCAAAGGATATAATATGCAGTTCTCCAAAGATATGCAAATGCCAATAAGCCTATGAAAGGATGATCAGCATCATTAGTCATTAGGGAAATGCAAATCAAAGCCACAATGAGATACCATTTCATACCTATTACAATGGCTAAAATAAAAAATATTGGGCAAGAACATTTTTTTGGTGAGGATGTGGAGAAGCTGGAATACTCATTCATTGCTAGTGGAATGTAAAGGATGAAGCCATTGTGCAACACAGTTCAGCAGTTCCTTAAAACTTTAAACACAAACCATCACATAACCCTGCAATTACATCTAAAGGTAAATACCCAGAGAGTTAAAAACACACGTTCACACAAAGACTCATCATGAATGTTCAAGCAGCATTATTCACAGCAGTCAAACAGTAAGAACAACCCATGTGTCTATCATCAAAAGGTGGTCCATCCATACAATGGAGTACTATTCAGTCATAAAAAGGATGAAGTACTGATGCAATGTTACAATATGAATGAACTTTGAAAACACAATACTGAGTGAAATAAGGCAGACATGAAAGGCCACGTTTTGTATGGCTGCATATATATATGAAATGGGCAAATCCAGAAGACACAATGTATAGAAATAAAAGTAAGTTAATGGCTACCAGGGGTGAGAGGGGTGTGGATTCCAGGAGAAAAGGGAGTGACTAGTAATGAGCACTGTGTTTCTTTTTGGTGTAATGAAAAAGTTATGGAACCATATAATAGTGACTGTTACACAACTTAGTGAATATACTAAAACCCTGGAATTATCTACTGTAAAAGGGTAAATTATAATTCTCAGAAGAAATAACAAAAAGCTGTTGGAAAAAAAATAGGAAGATGTTGACAATGACATACCACAGGACTCAGGCAGCACAAGGTGCCTTGTGCAGAGACAATATAAAAGAACAATAAGAATAATATATAAGAACAATAATGAAACTAACTACATGTTGGCTTGCCTTTCAACATCACCATGCACCCACAGTGCTCAGCACGGCCAGTGACAAGTTTTCCTCTCTGCCAGTGCACTGCCCCCACCGTGCTGCTGTGAGTGCCCCACTGGGTGCAGGGCAAAGTGAGCATGCACTACAATTCACTGCAGGCAACTCATGTTTGCACTGTGCTAATTCACAAAGTGCCATCATGCACATTATTCTGTTCACTCCAGAAAGTGAATGAGCACATGGGACCTCCCTGTGGCCATGACCCCAAAACAGTGGCCTGAAAGAACTCCAGGCCTGATTCCTGGTTCAATTCTCAGGTCTCCCAGCACACGTTGCAGGCCTGATGGGCAGGACTGGTGATCCTCATGACCAGGCTTGCACCTTGCCCCTTGACCTTTGTCACCCCATCCCTGAGGGTTCACGATGCCCAAAATGTAGCTGGTCATGAACATAGGCATTTACCGAAATCAGGAAACCCTTGATTTCCTTCCTGTCTCAATTTAAGCATTTTTTGGTTCAAGGTTTAACCCACTCCTGCCCCCACTGCCTCTGTACATGGCAATTTCAGGTTTTTCCAACAAAGTCACAAAACAGGGACTAGCAGTAGTTGGAGCAGATAACTCTTTAAATCACAGCCCCTCATTATAAATTTTAACAAAAATACATGTAGCAGAGCAACCAGGCCTGTTAGGTCTTTAAGAGTAACAGCACACTAAATCAGACTTCTGCTCCTGAGCTGAATGGTGAAGCAGTCAAGAGAAAAAGAGAAACATTTACAGCACATGGTGAACTGAGATGGCAGGAGTGGGAGAAGAAGGGAGGGCGGATGGGAAGTAGAATGTCTAACAAACCTGCAAAGCCGCTCACAAAAGGCTGAGAATAGATTATCTCTATAAGATATTCAGTGCCTTTTACTTTCTTCTCCATAGTTTTGGGTATTGTTTGATTTAAAAAAAAAAGTGTTCATCTTGTAGAAAGTTAGAAACACAGTATTTTTATTTTGAAAGAGAAAAAGCTTTGCGTTGGCTCAGATCATCCTTAACAAGCTGTTTAGCTTTAAACTCCACAAATCTCAAATTCCATGACTGGGATGCCAATGAATGATCATGTGCTGACACGGGGCATGTCTCATTCCCCAGACGCACGCCTCTGCCCACACCTGCTGGGAATCCTACATAGGAAGGCGTGGTCCTTTTCAAGATTGTTACAGTTTCTGTCCTACTGAGGAGCAAGTTGGTATCAGTTAACTTTTGCTTACCTGGATAGGTGGCTCAATCATTATCCAGGCCGGGAGCATCAGACTGGGGTTTAGAGGCTGGGTCCCTACTCGGAAGTATACCCCACCCCTGGAATCGCAGGCCCAGACGTGCTGATTTCCACATGCCAAGCTCGTCAGCTTTATAGCGCCTGTGGACAAATAAAGGAAAAGTACACACACTAATTGCTTTTGCAAAATGACTCACCTTTCATTTAATCTATGAACTTTGATTTTATATTTCAAAGGGAGAGATGAGGCTGCACTGGTAGTTGAACTCTGCCATCTGAGAACATCACAGCACAGAGGGCCACCTGCCAGGCACCCTAAGGCAGCCCTCTGGCCCCACAGTCAAAGAGGCTCAGAGGCTGTCAGCCCAGGGACTGATGTCTCAGTGTGGGGCCCCTCCTTCACTTCATCGGGTGCGTGACTATTACCAGCAAATTCTTGATCTGGGGAGAGGGAACTCGTCTTTACTGGTGATTGTGATCCTAATTAGAATTAAGATTAACCAACTAAGACAGTCAGTCTTCATTTTTCTTTTTACATTTCTTCCTGCTGATTAAATGATTTTAAGAGGAAAGAAAATGGGAGGAGCCTGTAAGAGTAATTACATTTGACTGTCTGGCAAAAACAGCAACAGCCCCTAGGCAGTCACTGAGCGGCCGCTGCAGGATTGGTTCTCAGCTGTGTCTTTCACATCCTCATTTCAGCCCTGCAACAGGCTGTGCTGCCGTTGTCCCGGTGCAGATGAAGGCCATGGGGCCTCAGACAGGAAGGCATCTGCCCAAGATCCCACAGGGGGAATGCGGCGGCCGGCCTGACCCCACGCCATCAGCTGCCTCTGACCTCTCGGGGTCCAGGGCATGCTCAGATCTTCCACATGCAGGTCAGTCAGTTCTGACAAATGAATGCACTGTCAAGTTACAGTACACTTTTATCACCCCAGAGAGTTCCCTCAGGCCTGCGCCAATCCCCTGCGCCCCGAGGCAGCCTCCTGAGCTCCATCGCCGCCGCAGCTCAGTTCAGTGCGGCCAGCCGTCCGCTGGATTGCAGGGTCACAGCACGCACTCTCGGCGGTCAGCTCCTCACCTAGGTGAGACTCCTCCACAGAGTGGCCTGTGTATTGCTGAGCATTATTCCACTGATGTAAATGCCGGTTTGTTTATCCATTCACCTGGTGATGGACATTTGGGCCAGGTCACTTTTTTTTTTAATTGAAGTATCACTGATATACAATCTTATATTGGTTTCAAGTATACGACTCAGTAGTTCACCTGCTACCCATATTATTAAATCCTCAGCCCCTAGTGCAGTAACTGTCTGTCAACATAGGAAGGTGTTACAGCATCATTGGCTAAATTCTCCATGCTGTACTTCCATCCCCATCATCAAATTGAAGGATGATTGAGATTTTTGTGCCCCTTTATCCTTTTCATGCTCCCCACCCACCCACCCCAAACTCTCCCCTATGGTTACCACCAGTCACTTCTCAGTGTCTATGAGTCTACTGTTATTTTGTACATTTTGTTTTTTTATAGTCCACAAATAAATGAAATAATATGGCATTTGTCTTTCTCTGCCTGGCTTATTTCACTTAGCATAATACCCTCTAGCTCCATCCATGTTGTTACAAATGGCAGGATTTCTTTCTTTTTAATGGCTGAGTAATATTCTACTGTGTATATAAGTACATCTTCTTTATCCATTCATCTACTGATGAATACAGGTTGCTTCCATATCCTGGCTATTGTAAATGATGTGGCAATAAACACAGGGGTGAATATATCTTTTCAAATCAGAGATTTTGTTTTCTTTGGGTAAATTCTGAAGACCAGCTCACTTCTTGCAACCAGGAGTAAAGCTGCTTTAATCACTCTTGCAGAAGACTTTTTGTGGACTTGTGCTGTTTTCCTTGGATAATACCTGGGAGTGGAGCTGTGGGCCAGCTGCTGGGTAGCTGTGTGCTACCACTTGGCATGCTCACAGGTAGTGTACACGATGGCCATGCCCTCACCAGCATCTAGTTGGGCACCTCTCTCCTGTCAGCCATCCTAGTGGGTGTGAAGTCCTATCTTGTCATGGTTTGAATTTGCACTTCCCTGATAACTAATGATGTAGAAAATCTTTTAACATGCTGAAGGGGCATTGATATACCTTCTTTTGTGAAGGGCCTGCTCAAATCTTTGGCCCATTTTTCAAGTTAAATGGCTTGTCTTTTGTTGACTGAGTTAAAGGAGTTCTTGTATATTTTGTGACAAGTCTTCTGTCAGATATATGTGTTGGGAATCTTTCCTCTCATTGGTGGCTTGTCCATTCATTTTCTTCAGGGTCTGTGATGAGATTTCAGTTTTGACTGCTCGCTTTGACTGTAAAGCAGGGAGAAGGCGGTGCAGCTACATGTGTACTGAGGCCACTTCACAGTTGTCACTGGCATCAGATGACAGCCCATGTGTCTGCCCCAGAACACTCAGGCACAGATCCTGCTATGGGGAAATCTTGTCACATGCCTGCAGTTATGCTACCAGCTTAAAAGTATTAACTCACCGCCTTACAAAAAATTCTCAGTATTATTTTATGCAATCACTGAAGATGATGATTTCTCTTATACTGAGATTAACTTTCCTTCCTTCCTCAACCTCATAGAAAGTCTTACCGGAGAGTTCAAGTACACTCCCTAGAGCTCTAACATGACATATTAAGAGACTTGTACCAGTCACAGTAAAGTATCCTCAGCAGTAAATTCCAGAAATAGCTGAGAAACAAATGCTAATTTAAAAATGCTAACTAAAAACCGACTTTATGTTAGAGTCTTCAATTCGCCCTAATAGGAACCAGAGGCAGCAGCTGATCCTGAGAAGAGTTACATGGTGACAGAAACACATTGGGTCAGCATCTCATAGTGAGCAATGAGTAACAGCGCCGTCAACAGAACATGGGGCTTGTATTACAAGGGAACATTCTTTCAGAACGAATACAAAAGGCTGCTGGAATACAGACTTCAGTGTATAAACCAGCTTATTCTCAAGTCAAGAGACAGGTCAAAGAAGAGAGCGTTTAGTCGAGGACTGCACTGCAGACTACCTCCAGGGGTCTCCTGGGCTGCCCGAGGGCAGAAGGTTTATGAGACCATTCCAAAGAGAAGGCGCTCTGCCGGTGGCAGAGGCTACTCCTCTCCCCAAACACGCCATGGCTCCCCTGTCACTGGTGGGGACAATGGGCTGTGAGCTGAAGCCATCTGTCACTTCTGAAGCATAAAAGAGCAGGCAAGGGGCTGATCAGCTGTCCCCTACTGCAGTGACCATGAGGGGGGAGACAGTACTACAGCGGGATCGAGAAGCAGCCCCCCAGGCGACAAGGATCCTAAAAGACTGGCAGGAAGAGAGCTACCTTTGAGGGAACGGGAAAGCAACATTCATTGTGTCAAGTTCCTGGAATCCGGGGCTTGTTAGGACACAGCTGCCAGCCTGACTAAGAGACACGCTGCAATTTTCCTGCCTTTCTCAGCTTTGCTTTTCTCTCCCATTAAAAAAAAAAAATCTTAGCTGCTTTATTCAACAAAGCAGACATTTCCCCTTTACAATTACTTTTAAACATATTTCAAAACAAAAAATGGCATTTATTTGGTGTTTTACTATTTATAAAACAGCTTTTTACATAAAATAATCCTACTTGTTACCTAAAGGCAAAAACTGACACTGAGTATTTATTACTTCATTAAATGCTGTGATCAGATGAATTAAAAATTACAAAGTGCATTAGTTTGATAAACGTTCCAGTGTTTCACATAATACACATTTATGTGTAGTGGGCAATGAAGTATTATGAGCATCTTAAATATTTGCTAAATGATGCAAATTTTCTTCCAAAAATTAGGATTGCAGTAAGTCATGAAGTTTCACATTCGGTCTCTATAACTGGGTTCAGTGGCCAATTAATTTGAGAATTCTATTTTAATCTCAAAGCAGCAATTGACTTGGCAATTTGCATAAAAGCAGAAAACAGTGATGCTAGGTTTTAAAAAAGAAATTAAAGGTAGAAATCATGTTCATGACTTGATACTTTGTTGAAGTCATCCTTGACATTGCAATTTCTGCTTTCAGTGTGAAGACTGGTGACATTCTAGACTTTACAGTGACTTGGTGCTGTCCAAGGTCAAAGTCGGCACCAGGAAGTTCAGATCATGTTATGAGGCACCAGAAAGAGGGGCTTTCACTGTTTATTTTTCAAGGTCAGAACATCTGTAAAGAAGAGGCTAGGGCTGAAGAGAAGACGACAGATAAACCACCTCTCTGAACAGGCTCTGTGAACCCATCACCTCCTGCCCAAGGACCTGGGCAGGCTGACGGCAATGTGGAGTTGGACAAACTAATTATGGGTGATGACATCTTGTGCCTACATGTTAGCAGTTCCATTTGAGATTATCAGTATCAAGATCAAATACAGGATCAAAACTCCTATCTCAGAATTACTTGGAAGTGGAGTTACAAATAATAACAACTTTCTCTGACAGTTTAACTTCTGCTTGGGTGTAGATGTGGCCAAGCATGTGGTCCCTGCCCACAGTAGCCTCCATGTGTCGGTACCAGCACCTGAGTCGGACAGAGTGGCTGTCGTCACAGCGTAAGAGCAGGATGCAGAGAACACGGGAGGGAGCACATCGGGACAGCCCATGGAAGGAAGCTCAGGGGGAGGGGACAGTCCTGGCAGAGGCCTGAAGAGCTGAGGAAAGGGCAGAGCAGGGAGGATGCGCCACGACACGGCACAGCAGCAGAACCAGGAGTCACGGGGTGGGGCGGGGGGCCTGTGGCAGGTGGGCTGGGCCAGGCTCTGAGGGCCTGGGTGCCACCTTGCAGGCAGGAACCTGACTCTAGGGGCGATGTGCAGCCACTCAACAGTGAGGGCGCCTGCCCAGGGTGCCAGCTTGCTCACCTGGCCGTGGCGGGTCGGGACACATGCAGCCCCATGAGGCAGCACTGCAGTAGCACAGGTGCTAAGGGGCTCTGGCCCTGGCAGTGCGGGGAAGGAGGCAGGGACAAGACAGCCTGGGAGGCCTCCCAGGGCAGGTGGAAAGAACGTCACTGACCACGCTGGCCAGCAGGGAAGCACAAACAGCCAGTGAGCCTCTGCCCTTCCCAGCAGAATTCAGTGGGAGCAGAGGAGCCACGTCAGGAAAGAGCAGGTTTGGGAAAGAGAAATTTGCTACTGAACAAAATCCTCATGTGCAAAGTCAAAGCGTGTCAAGGCTGTGCTTCCTTTTGCAGCTGGGAGCACCTGCACTACCAACTTTCAAAAGAACAAGGAAGCTGCCCAGGTGACCTAGGTGGGTACGGAGAGGCAGCATTCATGCCACCTAGATGCCTGAGGACAGGTGCCAGGGGTGCATGCACGCAGGGTCCTGGACAGGGGGCACACATCTGAACTTAATGTCTGCACCCTTAATTTAAATAATAATTTTTTAAAACCCTCAATTCACCTATTTGTCCCACAGGCTACAGAGACCATACTTGGAGAAAGCCCAATAACAGACCACCCAGTGGCCCTGACCTGCCTCCCTGCCCCCACCCTGGCACACCAGGCCAGCACCCTTCCCACAGCACCCTGCCCTCCTTCCCTGCCTCAACACAAAACCTATCAACTCTGACTTGCTTCATTTTCTCAGGATGTTCACATCATTTCAGTATCAGTCAGTAACCTAGATAAATAGGCAAAATTGAGAGCTCAGAGCAGGATAAAGAGTAAGAAAGGCAGTGCCTTGGCCCTGTCACACACACCGTTACACTCAAGGAGCCCTCCCCCACCAGCCTGAGGGGCTATGCAGGCAATGATGGCTGAATGACCCCAAGCAGGACATGGTACAGCTTTTAGGATGTCACACATGCCCAAGGCAGGTCATATTTACACAGGAGGCTTACTTGCATCATCTCTCTGGGGTGGGATTTGCTGTTCTCATTAGAGAGAGAATTACTGTTCCCACTAGAGAGATGAGAAGTCGAGGTTTCAAGGTAACCCAGCAGTTTGTCCAGGGTCCTAGAGCCTGCTCAGGGCCCAGCTCTCTCAAATTGAGACTCAATCCCACCAAAGCTGAATTTGTTCCCTAGAAAGAACGGACACCACCCCAGTGAAGCCAAAATGGGCACCCGTGAGACCTGCACCTCTCTAGCCAGTGGGCCAGTGCCTGGAGGACGGGACGGAACTGGAGGGGAGGCCTGGGCTGTGAGCAGGCGCCTGGAGGCCCTGCGGTGCTGGTTCCGGCACCGTGGAGACTGGCACAAGGCCCGACCCCTCCACACGCGCGGCAGTGCAGTGGCCTCCGAGGGACTGTGTGTGTGTAAGGGATGCAGCCTGCTTTTGACCCAGGGGTGCAAATAAGCACGCCTCCCTCAGCTCTCAAGACGCAGCTGTGGAGAAGACACAAACCAGGCCCTGGCCTTCATACCTTCAGAAGGAACTTGTGGCATCCCCCAAACTGATGGAGAAAGGTTGAGGCCAGTGGGTCTCTGAACAAATGAAAGGCTTCCCAGGGCAGGGGATCATCAGCGCCAGCATTCAGGACGATGACCAGCTGCGGCCTCGTGCAGTCAGTCACTGTCAGGAATGCCGGGGGGCGACCGGCCCTGGTGCTGTGACGCCGCGGGCATAAGCAATGAAAATGACCCTGGAAGATCCCTGGCTTTAGGACAGCTTGCTTCTTCAGCTGAGAACCAACCTGCTCCCTCAGGTAAGCTGGATTATGCCTGGGGGCCTTGCTGGACAAAGCACGACAATCCCTTACACAGCACCCCACAGGAACCACACGGGCTCAGGCTGGCCGTGTGCCCACCAGCCTGGCTCCGGCCTGTTCTGTGGGGTGGGAAGAGGCCCGTCAGCTGGAGATGCAGCTGGGGCTGCTGGAAGGGAGGCAGACAACAAGTCCTCTCTCTTCTGTTTCTTGCTTGCTTTCTCCTCCTCCCATCCCCTTTGCATAAGGAGTACATGTGGTTGAATTCTCAGACATTAGATGCTGGTACAATTCAGTTCTATCACCTAACAAGATACTGGTCGCCAGTTACCAAAACGGCAAACTGTATGGCAGGGAAGCACCCCTGCGGCTCACATGGACCCTCCGGAGCAGCCTGGCGCGGCCTCTGCCTTCAGACAAGCCAACGCCTAAGCTGCTGGTCATCAAGAATTTGCTGAGGGAATAACCTAATGTTGTGGGCTCATTCTCTTATCCTATTTCTTGGAATATGAATGAATTATTTACGAATGGCATCACGCTACTTGGCCCGCTCTGTACCCCTTGAGGGGAGAGACCGAGAAGAAAGGCGGTTCGAAGAGACACACATCAGGCCTTCTTTCTGCCTGGGAAAATCAACACTCGCTTGCTGAGCCACTGCTCTCTGCCAGGTGCTCCCCCAGGGGCAGAGGAAACAGGTAAATGGGCCACTGCTCCTGGCACAGGACACACCATTCTCCAGATGGAAAGGGCACAAAGCAACATGCCCTGTTCAGATGGCCTGGCACAGGCAGCTGCAACAGTTTTGTTTCAGGCAGTTCCTGGCAGCAACTTTCTCTGGTAGATGCTCCTCATGGGTTCCGGGAACCCTGCAAACTGTAAGGGGTGGGGAAGTAGCCTTACAAAATTCAGAGGTCCATTTCATCTGCAAGAATGGCTAATCAACCTCCTAAAATCCAACAAAGTACAAAATGGCACACAAATTGCACACAAGGGCCCTGGGAACTTTTGTCAGGTGTCACATTCTGATAGGGCTTTACGGTACAGGCAAGGGGCCGAATGTGCTCCCGAGGAGGCCATACCTAGCTGGGAAAGGTCCAGCCTCGTCCAGTGCATGCCCGTGGGGCAGCTCTTGGACAACGTCCTGATAAACACCTGGCCGAGGCTGTCCAGGGCCCACAGGGCGTCTTGGCAGGCGGCGTATGCCCTCATCTCCGTGTCAGGAGGCAACTGCAGGGTGGAGGGGCGCGACTGGGCCTTCTGGGCGCTGACGCTGCACAAGTCTTTGCTGCTCTGGCAGAGCCACAGGGAGCTTCCTGCAGAAACAGTTCACATCAGTTATGGACAAAATGCACTGGGTGGCCTCTGCCTTCGGGCACTGACACCTGACAGCAGTCACCCTGCTGCTTCCAACGCCCCTGCCCCCACTCCCACACAGCAGGACCCTCTGAGTCGGTGGGAAACGCCATGGTCAGCAGGTGAGCAGGAAACAGGCCGGCATGTTTTAAAGAAATGAAAGAAAGCAAGGTTTGGGAAACTTTATGAAGGCTACACTGCTGGCTCCTCAGCTCTGCCCTTGGACATTGGCAGCTGGCTGGCAGGCCATCAGCGTGGTATGTCTCCTCGGCGCTCTGAAGGGAGTGAGGCCGACCGTCCCTCAGAACTGCCCTGCTCTGGCACTGGGGTGGGTGCGCCGGTGCATGGCTGCTGGAAAGCCTCTCTTCCCACCCTCATCTCCAAAGTATACCCTTTGCTGCCTCCACCATTTTTAGAGCCTTTACAGGTTCAGTTTAAAATGCAAATGGCCTCCCAGGAAGTTAAAACTGGTCACAGCATAGTCTCTAAAGTACTACCAGGCACGTTTTGGAACTCAAACTGTTTTGTATTTTAAAACCTGAGGTAGGAAGTATGTCGTGTATTTAAGTAACAGCCCCAGGGGCGAGCAGCCTGCCCCACAAAGTACAGTGATGTTCCTGCAACCAAATGTATGTGGCCACAGCCACAGCCACTGGCCCACAGAGACTATGTGGCCTCACATCAGTTCAGGTCAGGCTTTGCTGCTGAATGAATTTGTGCCAAACTCAGAGGTAACCTACAGTTTTCAGAACTTACTGATTTCAGGACTGGGGTCAGAATGTGGCGAGAGAATGCTCTATCGCACTGACCAGGTCGCCACCCCCCCGGGGTCTATTGCCTTGAACTCAGCAGCTGTTCCCTCTGAACCACAGGCTTCTCACGTGACCCTCAGCACAATCCCAAGGTGTCGTCACCTGCCTGCAGGGCTCCCAGCTCGCTGGGTGGCTGCCCTGCCTCTCCTGGCTCCAAACTCCGTGCTTTGGGAGGGGCTGTGAGCGCTGAGGAGTCGGGGGGAGACCTGACACTGCAGGGGAGGTCAGCCCTAACAGGCCCCCCGTCCCGGGGGCTCAGGCCAGCCGGAGGCTGTCAACCAGAAGGGAGGCAGATTCTGGGACGGGACCGAGGGGAATTCACAAGGGCAAACAGAAGGCGCTCAGAGAAGCCTGGTGCCCCCTGGCCACAGTGCTCTGGCCCAGGATGCGCGCACCACTAGCTGCCAGCCCCAGTGGCCGTGGACACACTGCATGTCCTCTCCCTGAAGGGCGCTGGGCCTCTCACTCACTCAGCTCCCGTCACTAGATCTTGCTCTCCTGCTCAGGTCTCTCCAGCTCCTGAGGCCCTCAGCTTGGCCACCAAGGGTTCCGTGCCTGTGACCCCACATCTTATCTCTGAGGTCCACAGAGCTGCACCTCACCCCAACTTGGCCAGTCAGACCATGGTTTAGATTTTTCAACTGCCAAACCATGTGCTGTATTTCTCCACCAACCTTCATTTGTGGGGGCAGTGGAAGCCAACACAAAGGCCCATCTTGTCGCAGAAGCTGTCCCACGGGGAACCACATGGCTCCAGTAAGTGCCTAGAAAGAATAAACAGGAATGTGTTAAAGACAAAACAAGAAAATACACACTTCAGAGCTTTCCTTCTAGACTACAAACGGTTTCTAAGACCTCTTATAGCTAAGTCCACAGTGCCCTTATCTCAAGTAGTGTAACCCAGCAAGGCAAAGAGGCCCTTCCCTTATTCCTCTCTCAACGCTGACGGGCAGAGCCACCATCACGCCCAGGGTCAGGGGGAGGCCTCGAGGTGAGAGAAGAGCTGGAGAAAACTCACAAAGCAGGTATCCACTCACAGAAACAAAACCTGGGTCAGTATGTGAGGATTTGCACCTACATTTACAGACCTGGCCAGAGCCTGGCATTTTCAATGGTGTGATAATTTTCCACTAGAAAATGGACTATTCTCACTAGACTCTTCAGGTTGGGTGGATTTTTTCATTTGAATGTGAGATTATGAACATAAAAATGAGCTCCACTAGCTCTGCTATCATAGGTTCCTAGGAATCTGATCACGCAGCCCCCAGCAACTGGTATGCAAGCTGCAGGACTGACAGACTACAGAAAAGCAGCAGCTACAAAGCCTAAGAACACCTCGATCACAAACATTTCACCCCTATGCACTCAGTTATCTTCTCAGGTTGAGTTCTTAAAGCTTTCCTTTCAGTACTGGCTTCAAAGTAAAGCTGCCTAACAAGCCAACGTGAAAATAAAAGTAATCCACCCACCGATGAGACTTCCTTTGGCGACATGGAATTCATTCTTGCCTGAAGAGATCCAGACACCACTGTTGTTGACTCCTAGAAGGCTCGGCTGGCACTGAAGCTGCTGGGACCAAAATGCTGTGCGCAATTTATCTGCCACCTTTTCGACGGGCACTTGGGCTGCTGTGGCCACTGAGTGTGTGGCGTGAATTATGGTCTGGAATAAGCTGCACTGGTCGAACACCACGTAGTCTGTGATGCTTACCTGGAGGGGGAGATGGGCAGACACCCTGCTTTCAGTGCAGTTACAAGCGCCTTCTGTATGCTCACTGCTGAGAGGTAAGGTTCTCGCCCATGTCCAGCAAGTGCCAAATACACGTGCACATGCCCATTTGTGTAAGGATGACAATAAAGTCAGACAGGATAGCACCAAACCTCTAACTGTAACTGCTGAGGAATAGAAGAAAATTTTATACACTTTTATACCACATGGACCTGTTTCAACAAGCATGCATTAATTTTGTGTTCAAATATCACCCCCTTATCCCCCTGAAGTCTTTTACTCTGATCAGTGAGAGAGGATAATTTTGCTCTTAAATTTACATATTTCCAATGAACAATAGTGTACACTACTTAGAATCATAATATGGGTTTAAAAAAGGTAGGAGAAGTGGGGTAATGAAGTAATTTATGCTCTAGATCAGAATTTAGCACAAACCAGGACTGCCGCGGACACGCAGGATGAGCCCTGGCCCAGATGCACAAACCGCTTCTCTGACATTCCTGGACATGCTTCTCCAGGGAGCCTCCCATGAGGAAAACAACCAGCAGCTCAAATAGGGTGTTAGAAAGTTCTTTCTAAGGTGGGTCAGAATGCTCTGCTGGGTTTGATTATGGAGAACAGTGTTGTCCTACTCCTCACGCAGGCCACATTCCCAAGTCACACACAATGAAATGTTGACTGAATGTGACATCATTCATCATAGGGAACTTACTTTATAATAAACACAAAGAAAAAGGAATTGTGGCAGAAATCAGTAGTTTATTACATGTACAAATACTGCCCTCGTATCTGTGAAACCCTTGACTGAGCTGCTGCCCTCTGAAGTTTCTGGGAATGGCTTTACCATGTCAGGACCCTGAGGCCCTGCCGCAGAGCCCTGAGCCCCCTCCTCACTCTCAGCGAGCCTCCACCAGCAGGCTGGGCGGTCTCTGCTGGAGCCCACCAAAGGCGGGCAATGAGCCACACAGCTGTGGGATGGCTCAGGGACCTCTGCCCCTCCTCGAGCATCTGTGCAATGCCAAGGCCACATGGTCTGCCACAGGCTCAGTCCTAGCTCCTGATTTGCAGGCATGCAGGATGCAAATTAAAACAAAGAAAAGAGAGGCTGAGCAGTCAAACATAATGCTGGCTGCAGCACTGCAAAGAAATCAATCTTACAGTGATTAAAACACTCTGACTCCAAATACCTCAAAGATGATTCTGTCATATTCTCTAAAGATATTGTTCTGAATATCATAAAATGATATCTGGTTTTCTTTAGGCTACTTAAAAGCAGAATTTAGTACATATATATACATGTGAGGGTGTGTTTCTGTGTGTGTATGTATAAAAGCACATAATATGGTTACGAGTATAGAGAAGGGATTTTAAAATAATCGGTATAGCTTTTCTAGCATATCAGATTGGAGACCTATGCACGCATCGCATACACACATGCATACGTACCAAGGGACAACTGCGACTCAGGTTTCCACATTCTCACCTGAGACCTAGGAGCAGCAGCCGATGGAAGGGGCTGACTCCAACGAGGGGCATCTGAGCAACAGTAAGACCCACACCAAAGGGGACAGGACTAAAGAGACACTGTGTTTCACAACTGCTGGGTGTCAGTATACCCCTCCTGCCACAGTGGGAGACCGTGGGAGCTATGTTTACAACGAATGGGATACCAAACAGGGGGAAAGGAATGACTCCTTTGAAAGTACATTCTAGGCCATGCTGGCTGGGATCCAGTCATAGAAAGGGTGATGACACCCACTCATTTCTCAGAGGGTTTCCTTTGCTGGAAGCATGTGGAAAAGTTCTCCTTTGTTGGAATATCATTTACTTAGAGGCCTTTTGAACAAGCAGAGAAAGATGAAACTGTGGGTTGTGGTTTTCAAACCTATTGCCTACACTCTCTCCTTAGAACATTTACTCAGAGTCAAGCATCATTATCACCTAGGTCTTCATCTGGGTGGCAATGGGTTTATTTAGCATAAAATGACAAATTTCTAAGTAACACCCAAATAAATAAATAAACAGAGCCTGCATATTCAAACAAAGAGAGTTTCCAAGTTATTTCCTATTGTGAAAAGTCCTTGGTATTTCTATAATGCTCAAATACAGTGAAATCTAACTCATCAACTGGTGAAAGTGAACTGTTAATTTCATGCAACCTCCCCAATCTCTTTGAGAAAAAGAAGGGCCATGAAAGGGGAGCAGAAGCCCCAGCTCAGGACCTGGCCAGTGGCCCTGGAGCTGGACACCTACTTGCCACCAGTGGTCATCATCTCCTTGGGGCGTCTTGGAAACGATGCCAGTTCTGAACCACAGGTTTCCGCGGATGTCCAGAGCCCACAGAGTCTGCTGGTCCCCAAGAGTTACACAGACAGGCTCTAAGGCCTGCCTTTCACTGAAAACCAGGAGGAGAACATGGGAGTCAGCACCATGTCTACAACTGCCAATGTCAAGGGTCTCGTGTGTGGGTTTGGCCTAGGAGAAGAGATGCTCCTCACCCACAAGTTCTCAGGAAGGAAGCTTGAGTTCTGAGTTAAATTACTGTGTGGTAGCTTCTGAAAGACACTGAAGACCCAGAATGGCAGGGAAAGCTCCTGAGAGAAACGACCTAAGGGATGTGTGCTGACTGGCGTCAGCCTGCTTCCAGAGCCGCCCCAGAAGGAAGCACTGTCGGGCAGGCAGGGGCCAGGCATCTCCCACACACAGCCTAGCACAGTTCTAGCTCCCAGAGGTGCTTGCTCAAGGTGAGTGGGTTGCTAACTTCAAACCAAGAATACCCTAATATAATTTTCTTAAAGACTATTAATGATTTCATGTTAGCAAAATGATTTGACAGTAATTCCATAATTAATATATATATGAAGTAACCAAATAAGTTACAATTCAGAGACCAGTTTCAACTGACTCGGATGATAATAAAGAAAGGTATTTAGCCCTAAATCATGTGAAATTCTAAACAGAAACTACCTGACACTGGGCAGTTCTGAATAGACACTGTCATGAGAGACTGGACGATATGATGCTCGACTGTATGTTACACAAGAGGGAAGCAGCATTTTTAGATACTGAGCTTTGACCCAAGGTTCAGTGTGCCAGTCAGAGGTAGGGGACAGGTCTCTGAAAGGTCAGCCTGCTGAAACTGGCTCTGACGAGTCCAGTGAACACCATTACCACAGAAGCCTTCAGGGAACCAGCTTTGCCCAGGAAAGGCTCCCATGGGCGCCTCAAGGGAAGTCAAGCTGATAAAGAACGGAGGTGGGACAGATGCTGAGGAGTCCCTTCCCCTCCCCGCTGGTACCTGACGATGTCACATGCCCACTGTTCCCCCTCAGGGCAGAAGCTGCTCACGCCCTCCCGGTAGAGGAGGGCTCTCTGCTCCGTCAGCGCCCACACAACATTGTTTCGGGCTGTGACCTGGGACAGCGGGTAGGGACAATCGACCTTCACAGCTCTGGCACAGGGACGATCCACACTGAGACCTGCCAAGGAGACAGACAGGAAGCCCCCAAAGACACAGAATCAGGATTTCATACCTCATTTTATTTTGCTGTTTGCTTATTTTCCTTTTTTGGTACTTTGCTATATTCTTTTATAATAAGAGCTTTTTCTTTTTAAGGAGGAGTCAACATAAAATGGTTAAATTGTGCTTAAACATAACATCTATCTGAAGGGCTTTCAGATACTCTTTGCAAATGATGGAGTAATAAATAATTCAGAATCCGCTGGTGTCCCAAGCACCTTAAGACATTCTAGAAGAAGCTGAATGCTGGGGCAAGAGGACCCAGGAGGAGGACGCCAGCGCCCAGGGACGCCCTCCTGTGCTCCCCGGCTGTGGCCGGTGCGTCAGATGAGCAGAGCAGCTCAGCCTCCAGTGTCAGGTCTTGCTGTGTCCCTGCTAAGTATACGGAGGGGCCCGGAGGGATCTGAGGCCTGCCGCCATCCTCTACCAAGCAGGCCCAGAAAAGTGGCTTCCCTCTCCCTACTCTTACCTCGTGCGGGCTGGGATTCTGCTGCAATGAAAGCCCCCAAATTTCCTACATGAAAGATGAGCTCTGTTACATGGTGAGAGCGCCCAGTCCCTGACACCCAGTCCAGGGCTCTGTGCCCCCACCTTGCAGCCTCTGATGAGCTTGAGAGCCACTCCCAGGGGAGCCGGCAGAGCAGCTGCTACCCAACTGCACAGCCCGTGGCCTTGGCCTGCAGTTCCATCCTGTGCTCACATGTGCGCCCTGCCTGACCACAGCACCTATAGTATTGCAGCCCTTGGCTTCTATTTCCTCACACTCAGTTAGGGAGATGGCCCTGCAGGATTCTTATGCTACAATCCCCTGGGCCAGCCCCACAGGATCTCCTCTAGCAGGCTCATCTGAAACCACAGCCCGGATGACCTTTAAGGCATTAGTGGTCAAGAGGTCACCCACTCCTCACCCCCCACCAGAAGCACCCCCATCTCCCCACCAGGAGCGAAACTCAGATGACCTTGCGAGTTGGGTATGTATATGCCTTTCCAGGGCTGCTTTCACATGGAGGGAGACACAGGAACCAGGCTGGACACATGGCCCAGAAGCTGGCAAGGCTGCCCACCAGGCACACGCAGGAGCTTGTTGGATGCGCCGGCTCCCACACACCTGAGAGCCAGCCAGGTGTGCGGGGCTTTCCATCTCAGAGAGTCATCCCTGGCTGACAGTTCATAACAGAGATTAAAACATTCCCTTTGAACCAGCAACATTAAATGGTGAGATTGATCTTCACAGAAATCCAATACGGCATCTTGACAAACAACACAGAGCGCGTGCCCCATACCCCCTCACGGATCCTGAACACTATGAACTGCTTTTGGAACCACATCCTGTTTTACTGACAGTGCATAAACACTGACTCTCATTACAGCTTATTTTTAATAAACAAGTCCCACTGTGTCTCTTCCAGCAGCTAACGGTTCCCCTCAGGGCAGTTTCTTAGGACAACTTGAACTGCTATTTAGAGCAAATTATTTCTTGTTATTTCCTGATGCACATGTAAATAAGTTTATAGAAACAGGGCTTTAAACCTGGCTGAAAAAAATCCAGCCATAAGCCAAAGGAAAAATGATTCTAATGTCATTTCCCTGTTATTCTTTTCTTCTAAGATCTGATATTACAGGACAAGTGATACTCAATGGTTAGCCATTTTAGCCATAGGGAGAATAATAAGATTCTGTTTCTATCCTTCTATACCTCATTAAATAATCCCGTTAATTGTTGTCCGAAATTTGTCCTGGGTTGAATTTGAGTAAGTAGCAGGAAACTGCTGACATAGTCCAACAGCAGATACTCTCCTTCCAGAATTGTTTTAACATGAATTACTCCTAGCCTCTCAGCCAGTCACTACCAAACCAAGGGGCAACTTGAAGCAATTATGCCAGCATCGACTGCCCCGGGGCTCCCTTCAGTCACCTGTCTGCAGGTACAGGTCCCCATTTGTCCTGATGATCCAGGCTGTGTCATCACTCAGGGCCACAAACACTGCCTGGGGCAGAGCTTCATACCAGTGCCGCTTCCCCTTGATGGTCACTTTCCCACAAGCAAAAGCTCGGTTAGATTTCTGCTCAATCTTCCAGAGAAGGGCTCCTGTGAAAATAACAATTCTACTCACTGCCCAAAAATACCGAGAATTATTTACACAAAATCATCGTTCTGGGTGCTTCAGGGATGGCATTTTCTATCCCCCACTGCTTTGCTTTCACTCCAACTGGGGAAAGACCCTGCAGTGCTGAGGCCTGAACCCCTGGTCACTGCCCACCAGCTGTGTGGCTTCAGGTGTCATGTCACTAACATCTCCAGGACTTCTTTTCTCATCTGTGAAATGCGGACCATGTCTACCTTATAGGGCTGTTAGAAAGGCTGGGGGTGAGGCTGCATTGACGACACAGCACCCAGACCTGGATGGATGGGGGGCATGCCCCAACAGGAGGGAGGTAGTGCCATAGCTGTTATACCAGCAGGCACAGCCAGTGTCCTCTGAGAGGCTCAACAGTTCTAGAGGGACTCAAAGGCGTCTGCTCTGGACCAGCCAAGCGGACCAGGTGCAGGGAGAGGAAGCACTGAAGCTGGGCTTCCTTTCTCACTCAGAAAGGGGTTCTCATAAATGGAAATGGAACAGGGAGGGAAGGAAAGGAAGGGAAGACAGGAAGGCACTATACATAGATGCAGCGTTTGGCACGGAATAGGTGGCGAAGTGTTAAGATACCACTCGAGAATCATCTGAGCACAGACGGGCCAGACCAGAGGGTCTGACGGTGAGGAGCTCAAGTGAGAGCAGAAAAGTAAGACAGACAGCCAAGCCGCAGCACACCCTGAGTGCCACGGTACACAGGGGCTCTGGTGCCAGCTGAGTGTGGCCCCGAAGGACATCTCAGATGAGTTCACTAATCTGGTGGAGACACAGTTCTTCCTAGAGTAACAAGGGACTGAGTGGCTTGGAAACACAAAGTAATTAATATAATCAGGAAAGAACCAAAGTTTCTAAATGGCTGGGGAGATGAACCCAAAGGTAAATGACAGAAAAAGAAAGAAATGTTCAATTACATAACGCCAGCTAGTATAGTAGTAAGTCATTAGTTCAGTCTCTAAGGAGAAACACTGTTCAAACAAGCAAAGAGGGGAAGCAAAGTAGCCTTGCACGAACTAGCATTTCAAGTCAAGACGGGCCAGAGGCCAGGAGAGCTAAGGAGCCCATGCTCAGCCATGTTACTGGGGCAAGTCCACAGCATTCTAGAGGGACTCAAAGGCGTCTGCTCTGGACCAGCCAAGCGGACCAGGTGCAGGGAGAGGAAGCACTGAAGCTGGGCTTCCTTTCTCACTCAGAAAGGGGTTCTCATAAATGGAAATGGAACAGGGAGGGAAGGAAAGGAAGGGAAGACAGGAAGGCACTATACATAGATGCAGCGTTTGGCACGGAATAGGTGGCGAAGTGTTAAGATACCACTCGAGAATCATCTGAGCACAGACGGGCCAGACCAGAGGGTCTGACGGTGAGGAGCTCAAGTGAGAGCAGAAAAGTAAGACAGACAGCCAAGCCGCAGCACACCCTGAGTGCCACGGTACACAGGGGCTCTGGTGCCAGCTGAGTGTGGCCCCGAAGGACATCTCAGATGAGTTCACTAATCTGGTGGAGACACAGTTCTTCCTAGAGTAACAAGGGACTGAGTGGCTTGGAAACACAAAGTAATTAATATAATCAGGAAAGAACCAAAGTTTCTAAATGGCTGGGGAGATGAACCCAAAGGTAAATGACAGAAAAAGAAAGAAATGTTCAATTACATAACGCCAGCTAGTATAGTAGTAAGTCATTAGTTCAGTCTCTAAGGAGAAACACTGTTCAAACAAGCAAAGAGGGGAAGCAAAGTAGCCTTGCACGAACTAGCATTTCAAGTCAAGACGGGCCAGAGGCCAGGAGAGCTAAGGAGCCCATGCTCAGCCATGTTACTGGGGCAAGTCCACAGCCTCCCGTCTGACTCCTGTTCCAACATCCCAACAGTAAACCAGGTTCTCCGAGGCAAAGGCACACAAATACTTCTGTTCCACCTATTTCCTGGCCTCCCAGTAGAGAAGGTGGCCAACGTATGAACGCAGATGAGCAACTGATCCTGCACAGACTGGGGAGGTATTTCAGTCTAGTAGAACCTCATTCAGGAAGTGTCTGTCTACTCCAAGTCACTGAAAATGGCCTCATTGTGGCATGAAAGAATGAATGAATGCACTGTCTTTTTACAGTCAGGAAGTAGGCTGTTCACCCAAAGCATATATACAGGTCCTTAAAGAAATAATTTATGGAAAGGCAACCAAATAATCTGAACATATTCAACATATCCACGGGCCCATCTTCATTAGTTCAGTTGCTATAAAGCAACACTAGGAAAGAGAAACACATTTTATTTTTATAAGGAGTTAGTATGTCAATATCTCTCCTAAAAAAAAAAAAGAAACCTCAAAATTCAAGCTATTTGTTTAGTTTACAAAAATGTATTCCCGTGTTACCATCGAAATTGGCAAGAACCCCAAACTCAAACCCCAAATCCATTTACAGTATTTATTAACTGACATCAAGTGAATTCATGATCTCTGGGGAAAGCCCCTCACACCCTCGGGAAAAGGCCAGCCTGTAGGATGGACTGGAGTTGCTGCAGGGGCTGCTGGGTGTGCTAAGCCTTCTGTACCTGGGGCGGGAGCGGGGAGTTGGGGAGGCAAACCTGAGGGCGAGACTGCCACCTGCTGGACGGCTTCTTCAAACTTCTGCCAGCGCAGCCCAGCACCAGGCAGGGCACTGCAGAACAGACAGCCTTTGTAGTCCAGGCACCAAATGTACTTCTCAGAGACCGCCAGGCTGAGGATGCCGCAGCCAGGACCAGAGTAGCCCATCCAGCTTTCTGCAAACTAACAAGGGCAGAGCCCAGTGAGCCTGCGGCAGAGGACGCTTGTCGTACTGTTGCCAACAAGAAAAGTGTGCAGGATGCCAGAATCAAGGAGCTGAGAGGATCTTGGAGAAGCTATGCAAGAGACCCACCCCCAGCATCACTGGACCACGCGCTAATAGAAGCATTCTGAAACAGGAGCTGTTGTCCCCCTATGGGGACCCCATGACATCCCGGATAGCCCTCTGTCAGCATGTGACATCCTTCCCAACGGAGCGCTACATTCAAAGGATCTGGCTTCGTTCTAAAGGTAAACCTCACTTTACACAGACGTGTTCCTGGATACTCAAGGGCAGACTGATGCTGTGTGTCTAATCATCATAGAAGCTTTAGGAGAAGCAACACTACCACTTTCTTAGTTTTTTCACCATATTTTTTTCAAGCACTGCTCCAATCATCAGACACATCATGTGGCTGGTGGAAATCTGGCCAAGACATTGCCTCACTCAATTAGGTAAATTAAGGTTTAGTTGCTAGGATTCTTCTAAAAATTAAAGCTAAATAAAGCCTTGGTACTTTCAGTTTCCTAAAACTACAAATCAATGCATTTGCACACTGCACAGGACAGAACGGGGCCCAGCCCTCGCAGTCTGCCGCTGATCGCCGTCACGGGCCGCTCCCGCACCTGGACCCCCCTGACCCAAAATTTCTTGGCTTTCCTGCTACCTGGAGGGGCCAAGGGGGGACCAGGAGTGCAGGGGAGAGGTCCTCAAAGTACCAGGTTCCCTCTCACCAAGGGAAGGGCTTTTCTAAAGTTCTGGCCTAGAATCCCAGACCATCTGCTGGGCAGTGCTGTCCCCAGGCACCCCTGTGTGGCTCCCACAGCCCTGCTCGCCTTGCTAACTACTGTCACCGGGGCCCCACTCACCGGTAATTATATGCACGCATGTTGGGCTCCTCCCTAGGACTGAGCCTCCTGATTGTCACATGCCTGAGGCAACTCCAGCACCAGACCCAGGATCAGGTAGCCAGAGGCCCTCCAGAAAGGGTCAACGCAGGTTAGACGGAGTGGGAGCCACTTTTTGGTATTTGTCTCAAAACAAGTAAGCAGTATGTCTCACTTTTGGGGCAGGACAGCACAGAGGCCAAGGGGCCCTGGGGCCGGCCTTGCCTTTCACTCACTCCGTGACCTGCCTAAGCTGTTCCACTGTCTGCGTCTCAGTCCCCTCCCAAGTGGCACCACGACACCGCCTGTTTCATGTTTGCTCTGTTTTTAGAGCAGTCAGTCAACAAGCCTGAGGAAGTGCTTAGCATGCGGTGCCTGGCATACAGCGACAGCTGCCCACAGGTCACACACTAGTGACACCAAGAGATTCCAGTGGGACATGTGGGGAAAGCACACATGGCTGTAAGCTGCAATCCACACCTTGCAACTTGGTAGGGAAAGTTACAGTACAAGGGTAGATTTGAAGTACAACATAACAAATAGTAATCATTTGCTAAGGAAAGTAAGCACTAAAAGTACTAAAAAAATCACCTTTTTGTATAAAATAACCAAGAACAGTTAATAATCACCACATAATTGCATGGGCTGGGTGGACCCCAGGAGACTGGTCACCCAACACCCCGTCTCTGCATAGCCTGCAGAGAGCCTTGGAGCTGCTTTTGGGTCAAGGAGACTGGAGACACCTGCTTCTTGCTGCCAGTCCCCTGGAGAGGCCTCCATGCCTAGCACCCACACAGAGCCTTCTCCTCCAGGGCAGACCGGTTCTCTGGAATGGCCAGGCCAGGCCAGCCCTCCTCTAAGATGACTGACACTAAGCCTGTGCTGGTCCGGCCTCGCCAGGCTGCAGTAAACAGCGAGATGCCATCACACTGGCAGAGCGGGTCACTGAGCAGGGATGACCACTCAGCACCGGTCTGAGTCATTCAAGAGCCCTGCGCCCAAACCTCCCAACTCACACTTTGAAACATGTGGCCTACAGGTTTGCTGCAGGAATAGAATTTCTTCCCAGAAGGACAACCGTCTGCCAAAGATTCCCTTGAGAAAGAAGCCACATACCTGGTCTGCCTTCAGCAGCCCGGGGTCCTCCGTGCCTGGACGGCTCAGGTCCTGCAGGGAGCGACCACTGCTGAGCTCTGTCACACTCGTCTCCGAGGATGAAGAGGGCAGCCCGTGGGCATAGATGTCCTCCTCGTCACTGGATGTCAACACCTGTTCCCGGGAAGGCTGCTCAAGCCAAGGCTCATGGGTTTTGGCTGCCAAGGCAGAGGCCAGGGTTGTCACTCGCCCTGCCACACTCTCCAAGTCATAATCAGAAATGACCATTTCCTTTTGCCCTGTGGCACTGTCTTCGACAGTGCGCCAGGGAATTGAGCTGAGGCGGCCAGGGGCCCCTGCATGCCTCTGGAAGCCTTGCGCTTGGCTGGGCTCCTCAGCGCTGCCTTCATCAGCTCTGGTCCTCCGCAGCCACTGCTCAGCACTGGGGGCCCAACGGAGGCTGGAAGGCACCAGGGCTGAGTCCAGGAGTGGGGCTTGAGGGCCATCAGGTTCTGCAGCCCGCACCTCCCAGGTCTCAGCAGAGCCGCTGTGGTCTCGGCAGGGCAAGGGGCTGCTCTCTGGCCCACCGCTCTCACGACAGCGCTCCTCTTCGCGTGCTGTGACGCTGCTCCCCTCCAAGTCTCCCCTCGGTGGTGAGGGTGGGCTCAGCACCCCGCTGTGCGGCCCCGGCTCCCCTGTGCAGGTAAGTGGCAGGCTTTCAGCTCTATTGTCTTTCCCTTCATTCAGCGAGTCAGGGGTGGGCTCAGGTACCTCCAGTACACTAAAGGTGTCCTCAGGGTCATTATTTTCCTGCAGGACCCCATTCACCTCACCACTGAAGTTGCTCTCCTGGTCAGGAGACTCTGTGCTCCACCGATCCACAATGCTGCCCAAACTTGAGGTCAAGGACAGAAGGTCTGCGTTCAGGGACTGGGGACTGTCACCAGGAAACTCACAGCAGGGAGTTGATTCAAGGGAGCTGTGGCAGGTGTTCCTGCTTCTTCTGCCTTCTAATATAAAACAGGGAAGCTTAAAATGAGGTATGACTCCACATAAATAGTAAGAGACTGAAAAACAAAATTTTGGCTCAAGAAAAAATACATTTTAAATGAAGGATATTTAGTTAGTAAAGAATAAATCTCTTAAGTACAAATTATCCCAATGGAGGGATGTTCGAAATGGATGGGACTGTGGTACACATGATGGGCTTTGGGGCTTCACTCCAGAAATGTTAACTAAGAAAAATGAAGGACAAATGGATCACAGGCCAATTTTTTTAAATCACTGAAATGCTTAGGAATCTGATTAATATTATCCTTCAATACTGTAGTGATCTTCAGCTGGAGAAGACTAATAGGCAAAGGATAATAAATTTAAAAAAACCTGAATGTTAGATCCCTCTAGTAACACATTTCTAACACTAAACATAAAAGGATCCATCCAGATACCAGTGTAAATCTTCTATTTCTATGACTTTCTGTCCAGGTTCATAGACTCTCTGCTCTAATGAATGGTATAAGTGGACAATCCAGCGTTTTTATCTAAATATTGAAAAGTAGAAAACCCAGACCCATTAGGCAGGTAGTATCATTTAAACCGCACACAGACACTTTACATGTGTGTGTAGTATTCTTTTCGGATATATGAATTATTTCACAGTGAAACTCCTTGGAGGGAGGACTACGTTCATTTCCTGAGGACCCGCTCTGCTTCTCAGAGGAACAGCGCTCCCGCGGGGCTCGGTGGGGCCCCCCAGAGAGCAAAGGGGCGGCTGTGCGCGCTGCTGTGGGCGCACCTGTCTTCCTCCTCCTCTTCTTTCTCACTTTGAGAGGCATCACCACAAGCTCCTGGTCGAAGTCTTCTGAGCTAATCGCACTGAATCGCTGCGAGGCGGGCTGGCTCCCCTTGCCCAGCCCGGGCGCTGCCTGGGGCCCGGAGCCGCTGTCGGTGGGGTTGAGCGAGCTGCTCCTGCTCCTTGGCTCGCTGGCCACGGAACAGCCTCTGAGCCTCGTCTCAGAAACCGTGGCCCCTGAAGGCTTCTCCACACGCTGCACGTGGGCCTGCTCTGCGCACCCTGTTGTCTCCAGCCTGTCTCGTGCTGAGAAAGAAGAGCGTGGTTTTATAAGCGGCTGCCCCGGAGAAAGCTGCCAGGCTCTTGCTCAGGTTTGCTGGCCCCGACACCAGCCTGCTAACTTCAGAGAACCGAGCAAAACTAAAAAAATTGCACAAGAGATTCCAACTAATGGTTTTTGCTCTCTAGGAAATCCACGTATCAAAATCAGTAAAATAATTCCCTACAGCTGTGTCATAACTCAGTAGTAAGGAAATAGCGCTAGTATATAGCATTTCTCACTTTGACTCAATTTGTAAAGGAGACACCTGTCTATGAAAAGGACTTAGTGATACCTCATACTTATACCATGCCTTAAATACACTTTACTACTACTCAATGGGCATTTGAAATATGTATGTGTACCTGTAATTAAATTTCCGGAAATTCAAGAAAGGAAAGGTAATTTTCCACCAGAACAAACTCAAGACAGCCAAGTACATTGATGAAGCTGTGTCTGATGCAAGTGGACAGCAGAATGAGGCCCCATGCTTCGTCCCCATGACTACAGCCGGCGAGCTTCCCATCTCTAAGGACCCGTCCTTCTCTCCCTATGATGCCAAAAGGCCACCAGGGCCAGAATGGCTCCTGCCACAGCACCCTCAACACAGGCCTGGCCCACTTTGGTCCACTCAGCCATCCTCTTGTTAGTGAGTGTGAACCATGCCACACACCGTTCCCCATGCTGGGACATGGCCATCAACCAGACAGATAGAATTCCTGTCCTGTACTGGCATCATCAGAAGCAGACTGCAGGCTCTGGAGGGCACCCTGTGGACAGGAAGGGCAGGCCTCTGCTGGGAGTGAAGCGCGGGCAGGGCAGGGACTTGTCCAAGGTCACAGGCTAATGGCAGATAGTGGCCTAGAGCCACCCAACAGCCACTGCTACAGGAAGTTATTCAAATTTAAACTAATCAAAATGAACTGAGGTTTAGATTCCTCAGTTGCACTACCACATTTCAAGTGCTCAGCAGCCACATGCGGGCAGCGTCGCCTACTGGACAGCGGGGCCTGGAGCTCACCCTGGGTGGCTCCAGCATATAAACTCAAGTAACAGCTGTAAGAATTATAATTTTGGAATGATATTCACTGCAACTTGCCCTCTGTGACTTAAAAGGCAATTCACTCCCTTACCCCATCTCTTAAGAGATTGTAAGTTTAGAGCCAAGACAGCTCTCATTACAGGTTCATCTTTCCGGGTGTTAACTGGCTCATAAGGGACTGTTTTTGATATTTTCCTACCGGCTACCTTTGTAACCTAACATTCCAAAAAGACAAAAAGTTAGTGATGCCTCCAGCAGGCCATGGGTGTGGAGCAGCCTCCAGTGTCCAGAGGCTAGAGCTCTGCATCCTGGCTGCCGTCCAGCCCTTGGAGGACCTCGGGGTTAGCAGTGGGTGCCAGGTCCTGTCCAGGATCTCACCCCATCTCCTGCAGTCACTCATCCCTCAGCTGAAACTGCCGAGGGTAGAAATCACACTGGAGATGCCCCTGTGGCCAAAACCCCCAGGAACCAGCAGGGCTGCCCAGTGACAGCAAAGGGGCCTCCCTTCTGACTAGCTTAGCAAGGCAGCGGAAATCAGGACTCACTGCTCAACTGGGGGCTCATCATGCACTGCCCCAAACCTCGTTTTTATGACCTGTAAAGCGAGGACACCACTTGCTATCAAATAGTTACGGAGTCTCTTCTCTGTGCCACGTGCTGTGCTGAGGCACAAAGGTGAGCCACGAGATCCTGGCAAGCAAAAACCTATCACTTCCTCAGGGGGAGAGAAGCAGTAAGTGAAGGACTGAAGTCCCACAGCTGAAGGAGGAAAGCCCCCCACCCTCCACCGGACTCAGTGAAGGGAGGGAGAGGCTGCCGTCGCCAGGCACTGAGAAGTGTCCCAGCAGCAGTAACACCGGAACTGGGTACTGAATACGGAGTTGGGAGGAGAGCAAAGGGAAAGGAAGCCATGCTCCAGGCAGCACAAGTCCAGAGCATGGACGTGGCTGGTGCCCTGGGCTGAGTGGGCAGCAGCAGGAGCTGAGACGGGGAGCTGGCAGCAGTGGGGTGGAGGCACGTGCAGGCCCTCCGCAAATGGGGCCACAGGAGCGCAGAGAGCAGGGAGGCAGCAGAGACGCCACTCCCAGCCCGGGGAATCTCCTGCAGGTCTGTCAACGGGTCAGGACCCCCGTGAGGCTGCTCTGTGAGCTTTGGAAGCCACAAGTGAGGGGGCCCTGGGCCGGCTGGGTGCCCCTCCTCTGTACAATCAGTGCCTTCCATGTAGGGTTGTTCTGGGGGTTCTTTAAGATCATGAATGCAAAGTGCTCCCACAGTCTCTGGACATAGTGAGCGGAGAGTAATCGGGGCAGGGGGCAGAGTGGCCAGGCTGCTGTCGTCACCATCAGGAAAAAGCTCTCTGATGGTCCCCAAAGGGCGTCGGATGTGTGTGCGAGAATGCGTATTAAGATTCTTTGCTCATGAGACTGTGAGCTTGCATGAATTACAAAGTCAAAAGCACAAACGATCACCAGCACCACGAGGAAGAGCTGGTAGGGCTATAGGGTGTGCCGGATGGCATATGTGACTGTTCCAGCATCTTACACAGATTCGTGACCTTTGAGGCAGGACACCCACATGCTGTCCCAGAGCCTCAGAGTGAGCGGAGTCCTCCGCCCTCCTCTTCTAGACGCCCCACATTCCAGACCCGCAGAAGCGACCCTGCCAGATGCAAGCTGGCCTGACAGAGCTTCAGAATAGGTCAGTTTCATGGAAAGAACTGTGAACAGCCAATCAAAATCAGAGGAAACCCTCCATACCTCCTAGTTTAGATAAAGCTACAATCGTCAGCCAGAAAAATAATGGTAAGTTTTCTGTGTTCTAAACTGCAATCACATACACACCGTACATTTTATAACAAATACAAACCTATTGATGCTAGTCCTTCAGGTCTGCTCGATATTCTTATAATGTTCCTGTCGCCCTTTAAGAAAAATATTTCATTTTCTGTGCAGGAAACCGACACAATGTCACCTGAGCCTTCCAAACCAGCAATGGTGGCCTGTCAAAAAAAAAAAAAAATCACAAAACCAGGCAATGGGACCAGTTCAGAGCATATAAGCATGTGTAGGAGTCCCAGTAAGTCAAGTAGTACTACACTGTTAAGACAACTTGCTGAAATTTCTTAGAGTAATGCAACAGCTGACAGATACGTGACCTGGAGTTGCATACTTGCCAGCGAATCCCACTTCTGGGCCAGCCACCCTCCTCATTTCTTGGCCACTGACGGGACCATGTCCCACCTTGCTCCCCCTCTGTGATGTGGGAGGTCCCTCCTCCTGGGCAGGCCCTGCCTGCCGTGCCCACTGTCAGCGTAGTTTCCTGCCCCTTGCTTCCCAGGAGAGTTCTGGGAAGCACTCCTCAGGAGCTCGCCCTCCGTGGTAACAGCCGGGACTCCTTACAGCTCCATACAGTCGGGACATGACACACATCACCCCTGGGCTGCAGCAATGAGCCGACAGCCCAGCCCCCGCTGTGTGCGCTCCCGCAGTGCGACTCATGGCCCTGAATGCAGCGGGGGGTTAGGGAGGAGAGAGGGCTGCCCTATACCACCTAAAAGCAGATAGCAAACAAAACATGGGACATCCTGAGCCCACACTGGTTCAAAAAAGAAAATTCCTGCTTTTCAGCCAACAGTGAAAGAAAGAGACCATTTCATTGTGGAAAGAAAAAGGATCTGAGTTCTTTGTTAATTTTTAAATACTCCTAATAAACAGCTAGAAACACATTAGTTTGAAAGCTGCCAATCCCGTTGCTAGTTTGACTCTGATGGCAGCCACACTGTCTGCTCCTGGACTAAGCGCTCAGAAGAAAGAACTGATTACAATCACCAAGTGTCCTGACCCACTGATTAGTAAGTGCGCAGTGAGTTCAAAGAGTACACAGAGAAAGAAGAAAAGTTAAATTCTCTGTAATTGGGGAAGAATACAAAAATGTCTTTCAAGATGTTCCTTAAGAAAAGAGACCCAGGAGCCAGAGACGGGTAAGATTCCTCAAGGGAGGAACAACCTAAGACAGGCACAGTTGCAGGGGGGCCATCAGGTGAGAAATTGGGGATCAACAGAGGTGAGGCTTAGAACCTCACCCCCCCTGTTTTGAGAGAAATCTTCTGCATCTGTGGATGTTTTAATGCCCTTGTCTAGCTCAGATTAACACATAGTCTACAG